GAGTATTATTGGCCCACGCGCAGGAACACAGACCGCCGAAGCGGAGCAGTACCAGGCCCAAGGTCGCGCTGCCCGCAGGTTGTTGGCGTTGGCTGACCTCATGGACCGTGCTAGCCCCGTGTGGCGAAGGCTGGCACAAGCCGCGGTGCGCCTGCCGATCTGACGTCTAACTTCAACACATGGTGATCTGACTCTCCACTTGTTATCATGGAGTAGGACGCTGCCCCCGGCAGTGAGTCTTACCAGGAGTCACAGCAACTGCTGGCTCGGTCGGTTCCGCTCTTCCAGCAGCTAGCTTCCTATTTCCTTACACTCACCCCCGCCGTGGCGAGCCTTCGCCCGCCTGCCGCGACCCCGCAGGTGATTTACCTTCTCCGGCAACTGCACCCTTGCTCCCGCCCCAGCCACTGATATCGTCGTTGCATATGTAGGGCGGAAGCGCTCAAGCTCAGGGCATTCCGCACACGCACCAAATGCCGTTCCCCTTCATGTTTCCGCCTCAACCCGGCCAGGCCGGCCAAACCAACATGCCGCACTTCCCCTTCCAGGCCTTCACACAACAGGGACAAGCCCAGCAGCAGCAGCAGCAAGCGCAAACTACCGGTCAATCGGCGACTCAGCAGACCCCCTTACCTGCCGGAGCCGCCGGCGCGCCGTTCGCACAGCTCATGTCTCAGCTGATGCCTGCTGTTGCGCCGCTTGCCCAGCAAATCGCCCAGCAAGTGGCCGCTGCTGAGTCTGGCCAGGTATCCCTTTCTCCTTATCGCTTGCCAGTTACCTATACGAGAACCTTACCCTATATTTGTGACGCACCGCAGGGAGGAGAAGCCGGCACCGGTGGCCAGGCAGCGCCGCCACTTGATCTGAACGCCCTGCTGTCTCAGGCGACCCAAGTGCTGCAGGGCCTCTCTGTGCCCCAGCAGCCCCAGCAGCCCCAGCAGCAGCAACAACCGACGACTCCCGCGCAGCCGCAGTCTTCTGCAGCTGCTCAGCAGCCCACGTCCCCGGTGCTTCCGTCTCTCCCGCCTCTTGTCTCGGCTACCTCGCAGCCACCCACAGCAGCTGCTGCTCGGGCCGCCCCTCAGCCCACTACTTCCCGCCCGACTCCTTCCCCTTCGGCCCCTGCTGCTGCTCCTCAGGGCCTCGTGCGTCACTCGCCTTCATGCCCCCTTTTGTTTGTCGCCAACATATTCACTGACGCAACACGCGATCTGCAGCCGCCTGGGCTGAGCTCCATGTTCGGTAATATCCTGCAGTCGCTCTCACAGCCCCAGCCTTCTGCTGGTGGTCAAGCGTCGGGTGCAGGAAGGGCAGCCCCGCCGATGGACTTCAACGCTCTGTTCTCCAGCCTTCTGGGCGGAGGAGCACCGCAACCTTCGCCGGCTGCAGGGGCCGCTGCGCCAGCGGCCGCCCCCGCCCCGACCAGTTCGGACAGGGACAAAATTATGGGCATTTTGACGCAGGCTATGACCGGCTCCGCGGCCTCGAGTGGCACCCTTGGCGAGCTTCTCACCGCGATGGACCAGCCTGGCTCGCCGCAGAGCTCCGAAGATGGTACCACGAGTCACTCCCCCCCCCCCAAACCAACCAGAGGCACCCCACTCACTGGCGTTGTGACTGTGTTGTACTAGATACGGTCCTGAGCGAGATTTTGGGCATCATCCTGGGCAGGCTCCGGCCTGCGGATGTGATCTCCATCCTGCAGGGCGATCTGGCCCCGACGGAGAACCTGCGCGGACCCATCGCCGCCTACCTGCGTCACCACGCTGGCATCGAGGCCGGAGCGGACGTCAGCGAAGAGCAGCTGTGGGGCCTTAAGGAGGAGATCGTGGGCGCGGTGGCCTCATCCATGGATGACTCCTCCCTCCCCGCGGAGATCACCTCCAAGCTCAAGCCCGGCGCTGGCCTCACTCCTGCTGGTTCGCCCTCCTCCTTTTAGGCCATCAACGTTACATTTTGCTGTGTCTTGCCCGGCTAACACAAATTTGTTGTTGACAGCTGTCGAGGCCTTCAGCGTGCACACGCCCAAGCTTCTGCACCTCATCCTCGCCCCTGCGGACCCGTCGCCCGCCGCGCCGCATCCTTTCGCCACTGGCCTTCGTGATTGGTGCGTCTGATGGCTGATCGCAGCTTGGCTCGCATTGAATTGGACGTGCTTCTCATCATAACGCCACTGCCCAATGTACGTAGGGCTCGAGACCTCTCTGTCGAGTTGGTGACCCGACTCGCGGCCGCTTTCACCAACGGCATCAGTGATGTCCCGCAGTTCCTTCGCTTCTTCCTCCTCTCCGTACGGTTCTCCTTCTGGATCGCCCGCATAGCGTGGATCGCAACTCATCTCCTTCTCCACCGATTTGCATCGGTCAGAGGCTGAGCTTCGTGTCGGGAGAAATGCGCGAGGCCGCGGCTGACCTCATCACCACCTACGTTATGAGAATCTACTCACAGGCGCAGGTACGACAGCTTGGCCGCGCTTGCCTCACGATGTCGTTCAGCTGAACCAACAACCCGGGTTTTAACGAATGCACAGGCCAGCGAACAAATCCGCGAGGCTCGGACCACAGCGCAGGCTGGACAGCAGAACGCCACCCGACGCCAGCGCGAGGAGGACTACGACGAAGACGAGGGCGATGACGAGGATGAAGGTGAAGACGAGGATGACGTACCGTCGTCGTGGCGGCAGACCCTAGCCGACGACGCGCTCAGGCAAGCCATGTCCCCGGCCTCCACTGTGCTCAGCGAGTGCTATCTCTCCGGCTCCCTGCCCAAGGCCTCCGCCTCCAAGCGTCAAAGGGTGCGGTCCCTCTCCACACGCATTGGCTGTGTGTCTTGCAAGATGGCTGCAGCCCAGCACAGTGCACTCACCTCTTTTACGTTATCGGTGCAGCAGACAGGTAACTGAGCGCCTCACAGGGTGAGGGGGTGAGCATATTCCTGAAGTGTGTCAGTTTTTTTTAATTGTACGTTGTACAGCTCCACAACATGCATTTTTCGTTTTGACAAGCACCCCCTTCTTGTTTTCTTTGCAGTTGTCCCCTCGTGTCTAATTTGTCGATAATGGCGATGGAGCCGATCCATTGCACTTCACCAGGCTACCTATGTAGCCAAGAATGATCGGAATGCCATTTGGTGGACTCCAGACCGGAAAGTCATGGGGAGAAGGGCTGCTTTTTTCGCCTCAGGTGTTGGCTCGCCCCAAAAGGCTCAAACGTTTCACACCATGAAGGAGGAGGAGGAGAGGAAGCTTGAATCACCTGCTGTCGAGGTCGTAGGGTTGCCTGTGGGTCACGATAGCCACAATGTTCTGCTCGACCATGCCCAGCAGCTAATGATGGTGCCACTAGCCTCCCTCCAGGCAGATTTCCTTGAGGAGGTTGGTGGCTTCCTCCATCAGAGAGCTGTGCGGCGATACAGCACTCCTGGCCCATGGCGCATCTCCGTGCCCATTTCTCCGTTCTTGGCGCGGGCCACATTTGGATCAACGACTGAATATGTCTTGATACGAACGTATTCGGTGGCCGCGTACCTCGGTGATCG